GGGCGTGGCAGTAGTAGTGGAGAGTTTGGATCATTTTACTGACTCGGATCTCTGAGTCTCGTTCAGCAAAATGAACGAATCTTTTATCAAGTCATTTCGTTCATTTCATCATTATATAATTAAAATGTCATGTTAAATATCCCAAAACATCTAGTACTTAAGAAAATCTTATATTTTATTTTTTGTAAAAGATTACATTTGTAAAAATAACATAAATAACTATAGGGTAATGCAGCCAAAGCCAAATTATAAGCAACTGAAATAACTGTATTAATAGTTGTTGGGTCTCAAGGCTATTGCAGTCTGACCCTGTAAGACCTTCGTTCGTCTTCGGAACACAAATGAAGATATTTTTGATTCAATTTGAGAGCTGTATAACTACCACATTGGCTCCTAAGGGACTGCCTCTTGACGGCCCAGAAAGTCAATGAAGAAAATGTTTAAATATCCCAAGTGACTACCGTGGCTCAACTATATGTTTATCAAGCGACGAGAATACTTTTTGTGCGAAAAAAACAAACAAAAATAACGAGTTTATTCGACTATTCCTTTTCTTCCTTGTAGGCCAGAAACGAGACTTCCTTAGATTTCCACGACGCATGCGTGAGAATTGCTATCTTTTTCAACTACTTCAGTTCAATTCTCGCGCATGCGTCGTGGAAATCTAAGGAACTCTCGTTTCTGGCCTACAAGGAAGAAAAGGAATAGTCGAATAAACTCGTTATTTTTGTTTGTTTTTTTCGCACAAAAAGTATTCTCGTCGCTTGATTAACATATAGTTGAGCCACGGTAGTCACTTGGGATATTTAAACATTTTCTTCATTGACTTTCTGGGCCGTCAAGAGGCAGTCCCTTAGGAGCCAATGTGGTAGTTATACAGCTCTCAAATTGAATCAAAAATATCTTCATTTGTGTTCCGAAGACGAACGAAGGTCTTACGGGGTTGGTACAGCATGGGGGTGAGTAATTAATGACTTAATTTTCATTTTTGGGTGAACTAACCCTTTAATGTTTTAAAGGTGCCATCTGTCAAAAAAAATCAAATCATACTCCATATTCCATACCAGATGGGGGCAGTGTACCTCCAGAAAGGGAGTTGTGCCTCGGCCGCGCACACTCTCACGTCTTCAAACAACAGGAGCGAGCGCTGTCTTGCTCTTTCCTTCGCGCATATTAATCAAATCATTTGACACGATAGTAAAAGGCTGGAAGACCGCAGTTTCACGTGGAGCATTTGGAGATTTTTAGAGATTAGAGACTCAATGAACAACATCTCAACACTAAATGATAAAAGCACAGGCTATTATTTGAAGTTTTACAGTATTCGTTTTGTTCATATTACTTTTTTTTGTTAGTTTGAATTAATTTGACAGACAGCATTAGCTGATGTTGACCAAGCTAGCGCCATTCAGAGCTGCCAACTCTCACGAATTCACTGTGAGATCATAGCGTGAGATATGCAATTGACACTTTTCACACGCTCTCACGCCACACATCAATTTCGTCACGCACAGAAAAGGACACGGAGACCGACAGACTACACATAGCAGGTTAGTTATGATATTAATATATAAATATATACTTTAATTATAAAAAAATTATCAGGAGCATGCTGATGTGTATGGTGGCAACACGTAGGCTAACTTGAAAATATTTGGAGGTACAAAAAAAAGTCTATTTGCGGGTGGGAGAAAGTAACATAGAAAGTAGTTGCAGGGCTCTCGTCTCAAGTGTCACGCATTGAGTGGTTTTATTGTTGTCATCAGTTAATACACATCTTAATTATATTACATTTGGCTGAGCATTTTTAAATTAATACAATTTGTCAATAAATTACCTTTATCTGTAAGTTTTGGCCACTACCTGACATTAACTACCCAATGTTCCCTTTCACCAGACATTTTCTTTCATGAGCAGGGTCCACTTTCATCGAAATGTCATTAGAGAGCACCGGCAAGTGTCACCCGTAGCGACACGCAGTAATGGCGGAAGGCATGATGGCGGCGCCCATAGAGTTTGCGGTGGATTTGTGTATACCTACAAGGTAAGGCGGAGATACGCTATCCAAATTCTGCAGACCCATGTCATTTTCTGTGCCATTGGCTCGCTATCTAAGCGAAATCATTCGTTGTCATCCGACGGAACTTGGAGTGACAACGAAAGGGAACAATTATCTTGCACATCAATGACAAATAAAACACAACACTTCTTAAATCTCTTGCTCTAAACTCTGTTATTATTTCAGTTAACAAAAATGATTTTTAATAGTTCTAGCTAATAAAAACAACACTGAAACAGACTGAGAATATCATGAGTCAGTGCTGACCATCTTATGGTTATTACCTCAAATCTTTATGCTATATACACTCATTTGAAAAATATCCATGTCTTTTTGTGATCTTTTTGTCATGTCCTGAAATTCTATTCATCACTGAAGTTTTCAATACACTTCCTTAAGTGTAAGGAAATTAACACTCCCTTCCCCCATCTTGCTGTGGTTTATCAACCTTAGGATAAACCCTACACCTTTTGTCCTTCACACCCACACATTTACACTCTCACACCACACTCAGGAAAAGGCTGTTTAACTGCATTCACACACAGAGATATTGAGAGGGGTATATTAATACTCACTAAGAAATGTTAGCAGCACACAGCTGATCATAATCACATTTGACATGTGTGAAATTTCAGTTGGCTGGTCAACTGCCCACATGCCCCCAAAATGATTTGTCATGGAGCACATATGAAAAACACTGCCTGTGGCAAAACAACAAATATATATATATATATATATATAATATAGACCATTTCACAAGATGTAAACAACACTGGTCCAGAAGCACTTCCTGTTTCAGTTTGTAACTGTTTTCTTTATTTCACATGTAAAGAAAACATCTTAAAGATGTTTGTTTAACTTTCTGATTCAGTTTTAAATGTTTCGTTGGTTGTATTTTATCCCAGCTTTTATGTAGTGTTAAAAAACTGAAACAGGAAGTGCTTCTGGACCAGTGTTGTTTACATCTTGTGAAATGGTCTATAAGAAATATATTATAATATAAGAAAGAAGATTCAACAGCTCTTGTATTAAAGTCTTTATTGTGGGAAGAATCTAAAACTGAACAAAAATAAATAAATGTATTCATTTAAACAAATTAGTTGCTAAAGCAAGCAACACTATTACTATTGCTTGTTTCTTTACTATTGCTGTTTTCTTTCTTCCTCATCAATTCCTCATCAATACTGATTACATTTTAGCAACAGGATACCAATTCTAAATTAAGATGTATTGCTCTGATGAACTATGTTTAAGAAAGTTTAAATGCGTTTATCATAAATGTATTTTATGGTTTACTTGTTTTGGGCCTCTCAGCTGTAGCAGATAAAACAGCATTTCAACAATGAATGGTTTCTTTTACTCATCAAGAATGCATTAAATTGATCAAAGCAATAGTATATTAACAAGTAGAGAAAACAAAAGATTTTATATTTCAAAGATTTGTTCTTCTTTACTAAGCAAAATCATCAGATGCATCACCTTTCTAGAAAATACTGACAACCGGGAATATAAACCATCCCTCAGATCCAGACTATGTGATCATTTATCTGCCAGGTTATTTATAGACACTGACTCAGGGTTTCCAAAATAAGACAGTATGGGTTGATAAAACCCTCACCATCCCAGGTGAAAAGGAAATGTATTTAAAATGTACTTATTTTGATATACTTAATGTATTTTAAGTGCACCGTATTAAATATGTATTAAATGTGCTAAATTGAAACAACTTCAAGTATATTAAGTGTACTTTAATATGTATTTAAGTTCAATTTTAAGGTAATAGTAATATATTTTATTATATTAAATTGTGCTAAAATGGAACCATTTTAAGTACATTTAATGTAATATAATAGCACTTATTTAAAGTGTATTTTAATACACTTTAAATCGATTTTAGAAATACAGCATTAGTATATTTTAGCTTCACATTAATGCGTTCTAAGTATATTTTAAATATAATTTCAGCTTATTAATAATGTATTTGTAGAACAATATAGGACCCACTATTAACATATTAAAAATATATTTTTTCCAAAAACCATTTAATATAAAAATAATATATTTTAATGTATTAAAAATACAGTTAAACATTTTAATTCAACAAAACCCAGTAAAAAAATATTTCTACAAAACACACAAACACTCTTTGAAAGATAAACTTTAATGCACTACATCAGTAAAGCATTATGAAAACTAAACAAAATACATTAACATAAAATGCATTGATTTGCAGAGGTATTAAACAGAACAAAAAATAAATAAATAAACTAACTGAAAGGAGTAGTTCACTTTTAAAAAAAAACTTTTGCTGATAATTTACTCACCCCCATGTCTTCCAAGATGTCCATGTCTTTCTTTCTTCAGTCGAAAAGGAATTAAGGTTTGATGAAAACATTCCAGGATTTTTCTCCATATAATGGACTTCACTGGGAACAAAACGGTTCAAGGTCCAATGGCTAACAGTCAATTTGTCGTGAAAGCATGAGAATTGCTCAATTGCGAGAGTCTCGTGCTGAATGCTTGAGAGTTGGCAGCCCTGACAAATCTTTTTTCAAGTCAATTCATTCATTTCGTTCGTTGAATGAACCTAATGACTCAGAAAAAGATTTGTTAATTTTGATGAACGAGTTTGAATAGGAGAGTTATGAACATGCATAACAGAACAGAGCATGGCGACCATTTGAGCTTATAAAACTTAAACGTTGTTTTTTTTTTTTTTTTTTTTAAATGAGCGATCGTTTCACTTGATAAGACCCTTATTCATCGTCTGGAATCGTTTAAAGCCCTTTGAACAGTTTGCACAGAAACTGCCTTTTGGACCTTGAACCGTTTGGTTCCCAATGAAGTCCATATGGAGAAAATCCTGAAATGTTTTCATCAAAAACCTTAATTTCTTTTCAACTGAAGAAAGAATGACATGGATATCTTGGCATGGGGGTGGGTAAGTTATCAGCAAAAGTTTTTTTTTTTTTAAGTGAACTAATCCTTTAAGTCAAACAAAGTGAAATACAATAGCAAAAAGTAAAGTGGCCAAGTCGTGAGTAAAAAGAGAAGTTCGTGACTTGTTCAGTCTGCCATAGACTCTTTTGGGGACATCAGAACCACCGAGGGAAATCTGGAAAGAATAAAAAAAACAAGCATTAGTATAAACTTGTTCATTTATAATTCTAATAAAAAGCTGTCACTTTGTTACTTAATTCAGAACACTTACTGAAGTATTAATGCACAAAAGTCAGATATAATTATTATAACAAATAGGATTTTTCTTTATCATAAAGAATTTTCTTACCATGTCTGAGGTTTCAGGAAGACAGCTCAGATGATCTTGGGCTTGAGCTGAATGAACCTCGTTTCATGGACTCCAGGGCCTCTTTGAGAGATGATAGTATCCCTGGAAGCTCTACAAAAAAAAATAAAGTTGCATGTTATACAAAGTTAGGGCAGAACAAACACTAGTTTGTGTTCTTCATATATAATTTGTATTTTGTTTAAATGGTAAAACATATTTAATGAACCATTACTGTAACTTCCACGCTATTATTGAAGTAATTATTCATTATTAATAAAGACAGAACATTCTATTGAAAGTTACAAGTTGGTGACAGCTGATAACTTAGTAACTAATAATTAATTAGATTTTACTATGAATTAAATATCACAAATGTGAAAGTTTTATTAGAGCTTAAAATATATTATAATATTTAAAACACAAGAAGTTACTTAGGGACAATCAAGCCTGTCGTGTAATCACCATTAATAACCTTTTTTCTGAAAACACAGTGTGCAATGTTTTTATAGTTGCATTATGTCACTGTCTAGATCTATAACAATTAAGTTGATAGACGTCAATGGATAGACGTTAACTCGCTTTAGTGTCAAATCAACAGAAACGCCAGTAATCCACAGAACATCGTCATCAACTTCTGAAAATATTTTCTAAACCCAAAGTGAGAATAAAGCCAATTACACTAATCACTTAAACTAATAAACTTACCACCAAGAAGTAAGATCTTTTCTGGCAGTATCTTGCTCTGTCCATGTCGTGGCGGCGCAGCTCTGCGTTGTCCTCTTCACTGCTAAATTGTTCGCGGGAGCTGACGACCTGGTAATCTGCTCGTGTGTTCTCTTAATATTAGATCGGTGCTATCCACATTCACTAGGTCCGAGTCAGTGAAATAACAAAGCAAAATTTGGAAAATACATGATTTCTGTTGAGATATCCGTCCGAAGCTAATGGAATACCACAGACAGTCAGTATCCGTTGTCCGCGCCCCGCCCAACATGTAAGTTCAAATGGCAGTGTGTGATTGGACGATTGCCGGCAAGCTTGTTTTGAAAAGATTGGCTCTGATTGGTCCAAATGAATGCAACTGGAAATATTAACTAACATCCACAAAAAAGAAACAACTCTGTTAATATAAACCTAACATGCTTTATAACAAGTTTTTTTATTCATTTTGACTAAACAAATGTAAGAGTCAAGCTTTAAGAAATTTATTTTGTTTTTCTAGTATGTACACCTGATCTTTTATGTTGATGTGTGCACGTACTGGTATTCACTTGTTTTGTGGAAAAGACTATTTGATTAATTAATGCAGAAGTATAGAAGTGCATTACTTGTTAGTCAAATTTTAGTGCTTTTCATAATTATAACAAATTAATTTAAAAAAGTTAAACCTAAAACACATAATATAAAGTGTGAAATACATATGCATTGAGTTAAGTGTTGGTAGTATTACAAAAAGTGTGGTAGTTTTTGGTATATTTCTTAAAAGCTTAACTGAGCACATATTTATAATTAAAGTGCTACTTCTAGTCTTTGTAGAAATATACAATTAATTTCGATACATGTTTAATTGCCTTCATGTTAGGAAGGGAATTAAAGGGACTTGACTTGAATTTTTAAACTTGAAGTGAACACAAAAATACTTTAATTTAGCAACAAGTATGCTTTCTGTAAATACACTAAAACTTCACTAAAACTGTGTTTGTTTTTAGCATATTTCTAAAAGTGTAATTAAGTGTATATTTATTATCATTGCGTTTCTAGTAAAACATTTTTAAATATAATTAAAATATGTTTGTATTTAGCATATTTCTTAAAAATGTAATTAAATACCAATGTACTTCTAGTACACTTTTTAGAAACATATTTAAAGCATGATTGTCATTAGCATATTTATTAAAAATATAATTAAGCACACATTTATTACCAATGTACTAATAATATACTTTTTTAGAAATACATTAAAAGTATGCTTTTCTATAGTGTATTTCTTAAAAGTGTATTTAAACATATATTTATTACCAATGTACTTCTAATATACTTTTTAGAAATACATTTAAAGTATAATTATCATTAGCATATTTATTAAAAATATAATAAAGCATACATTTATTACCAATATATTACTAATATACTTTTTATAAATACATTAAAAGTATGCTTTTCTATAGTATATTTCTTAAAAGTGTAATTAAATATATATTTATTACCAATGTACTTCTAGTATACTTTTTAGAAATATACTAAAATGCAATAAAATACATTTTTAGTACACTTTAAATAAGCATGTTGTAAATACAAATGTATTATAAACACACTATTTGTATTTCAAATATATTTTTAATACATTTAATACAACGTCTTTTTCACCTGGGATTCTATTAAAAAGAACTGTGGAAGTTTCTGATTGGGTTCAATGATTCTTTTAGTCATGTATTTGAATATTTACAATACATGGTACTCCAAAGTAATATGGTAATACCATGGTACTTTTTTGGCTTTTTGTGTTTGCAAGCTTGTGCTGTGTAGTCTGATATGAAAGGGCCAATATGAAACTGTAAAAGTGGAACAAGTGGTGTCATTTTGAGCTTCTCAAATAACCTTCACGTAAAATAAGCTGGTATTATGTGACAGTATTGATGTCTATTTCCAATGAAGAAAGAAATGATTTGCTGCTGCAGCTGTAAATTATTATTTGTCCCAATGGGTGCATACGATGACACCAGAATGATCCCTGAACTAAGGCCACATTTTTAATGACGTTTTTCACCACAGGACTGGGAGAGAAACTGTCAGTAGCAAACAGAGAAAAATCCTGGACCCTTTAAATGAATCCTTTTGTATTTAACAGTCAGCCAGATTAGAGAATTTGTAAATTAGATGTATTGCTTTATAACTGTAGCTGGTTGCAGAGGATTTTTATTTGAATATAATTTGAATTGGTTGCAGAGGATTTTTATACTGAATTAAAAAAACAAATTAGTCTCCTAAATGAAATGTCTCCTGGAGATGAAAGTTTCTTAGTGTTCATAAGCATTTCCTTAATCGACTATCAATAGTAGAGGTGACATCCTTGCACAAGGTCTTAACACTCTGAAACACTCTTTCAAAATTCACCACCAAGCTCAATGCTTCCATGTTCAATTAATTATTTTCCTTTAGCCAATGCATTCAAGCTTTCATCGCATGTTTTTTTTGTGCTGTCAGGTCGGGCTTCCAATTGCCTCCAATTAAACTGCGTTCACCTTGGCTTAACATGTTTCTGAATGGTGTTGTAACATTTGTGGAGTTATCTTTGATTTCTGTTAGATCAACTGAGTAAGAAACGTGTGATTGTTCTCAGTCTGAGAAAGCAAAAAATGAAAGGCTCTTTATAGATATTGACTTATTATTAGGTGTTAGATTACATTTTTTTTCACTGTAAACCTTAATAAAGTTTAATTAAATTAAAAACATTTGAGGAAACACGTTCCTCTAAATTTATCTATGGTGTTTTGTGCCATCAGGTTCACATAATGAGATCATCTTTAGATATATATTTAGATATTTTAGTTATCTTTTAGTTAGTCAGAAAATTTGTAATTAAAAATTAAGGCATTACATCATGTTATGTGACCCACTAGAAATCAATCCAGCAGTTTGCCTCCTGTGACTTCGTCAATTTGATTTTACCATAAAAACCAGAGTTGTGTCACATCATGTCCGACCCGCCAGAGTCTCGTCACGTCATGTCCGAACCGCCAGAGTCTCGTTACGTCATGTCCAAACCGCCAGAGTCTCGTCATGTCATGTCCGACCCGCCAGAGACTCGTCACGTCATGTCCGACCCACCAGAGTCCCCTCACATCATGGTCACTCAAATGTTTTTTTGGCAATTTATTTGATGCCAATTTCCCAGGAAGTGACAATTTTGTTCTCTTGAACAGATGGGATGGAAAACGCTGCTTGATATGCAAATGTTTATGCGATATTCCAATTTTACGCATAAATTAAATTCACAATGTTTGATGGAAATGTAGCAACTGTTGTCAATTAATCATTTCAACTGATTAAGCTCAAAATTGTAGCGTTTGGTAATTGATTTTGCCCAGTACGTTTTAATGCACATTAAATTGTAACAGTGACGCAAAACTAACACAAAACATAATTTATGGAATTTGAATAAGTTTAAGGAGCATATATGAAGATGATTTGATCCCAAAATGTGTCAAGTCGTCAAGTTGCTTTTGTGTTATTTGCTTTGCCACGAGTGAATTTTGGTAGAACCTAAAGTTGAACAAATAAGAAACTAGACAGCTTCCCTCTCTAAGCTTTTTCTGAAAGGCAGATGAGATGTTGCAATATTTTCCATCTCACCTCTGTCTGTGTCAGTATGTTAAATCAGGAGTTTACGCTGCAGTGTTTGCAGAGGCTTTGTGTTAGTGTGAGATATGGGAGCTGTCTTTGTGACTCCACATTTCTGCTGATTAGAATGTTAAACACAGCCATTGTTTCATGCAGTTGCTGCATATAACTCAAAGTATCAAAGGTGCCTTCTAACAGGCATTGCCATAGAGACGGCTGAAGCTCATGCTAAAAGTGGAATGGGTCTCTGTTTTGCATATGTTTTGGTTGATGGAAGAATGGGTTTACTATGGCAACAGACACAGAAAAGGTGGAGGTGATGTATTAGCCCATGATAACAGCACTCACTCGAGTAACATTGTGTTCTGCTCTTAAACTACTCTGCATGCATTTATCTTTCAATTTGGAATTAAAAAAAAGTTTTGTCAACTAAGCTGAAAATATGATTCATGTGGTAACATCGAAATTAAAACCCTTTATTTTAAAACCTGTCACTTTGGGGCAAGTCGCCACGTTTTACATGATATCATCTCATTAACTACAATTTCCGTTTCCATTTTTGCTATTTCATTAATTGCTTTACTAATTATTTTTTTCCAAAAAGCCATCAAGTAGCCTGTATTGCATGCTGTGAAGATTTAATTAATTTATTTCATCAAGTTATATTTAACAAAATGAATCTTTTGAGGTATTGATTCAAATTCAAATCAAATATTTGCATTTAGAGACGTCTCCTGTCAGTGTTTTTGGTCACAAGATGCGCAAGAACCAATGCCATTTCATGTCACTGATGTCCAACCTGATAAAGCGGCACTTGATTTGAGACCATGTATTAGAAGACATGGAATATAGCAAAGTGTCATATGGACTACTACTAAAACCGTTCCACATAAAAACAACAGTATACAGGTTAACAGCGATACATAATTACAACATTTTAATTTTGGGATGAACTGTCCCTTTAAAGGTTGTCTGAAAGGAATATCATATATAGCAGTTTATTCTGTTACTTCATCCATTATCATACTTGTTATTGTTTTGTTTTGTTTTTTTCTTTCATTATCAGTGATATGAACACTGCTATCTGCTATATAAGTTGGCAGTTGTGAAATTCCTGTTGCTCATTTCCAACCTGGATGTGCTTGGATATTGTTCCATATCTATATTGCTCCCTTGAGTCCAATAGGAAGAAATGATTGCTCTTACAGAGCCAGGTTGAGGGTGAGAGGTAAATACTCATAGAATGCATTTCCCTTTGGGTTTCCACGGATCAAACTGTAATTTCAACTAGCTGGATCAACAACAGCAACGGAGAGCCACCTGGGACGGCACAAAACAAATTAACTTCAACTTTTATTCTGAACTTTGTCATGCTCTATTCATTTCTCCCACTTTAAGGCCAATG